TCGACCATTTTTCTATCTTCTTTATTTGAAAGTTCACATTAATTTACAGTTGGTTTAAACTTCCTTTTCTTACTCCTTCTTCGCTTCATTTTCATTTGATTTATAGCATTTTTCGTCCTTTTTTTTTACTTATTTTTGGTTTTTGGTTTAATTTTATTCTTCTTCTAATATTATAAAATGTTTTAGTCTTATATAACATTATTATTTTTCTTCTAAATCCTAAAATAGTTGTCTTCTTTTCTTTTTTTATTCTTTTTTTTTTTTAAATAAAATTTTTATAATAAATTATTTTTAAATCTCATCTCTCTTTTTACTTATTGATTTTATTATATTATTTTATTTAAAATATTTCTTTTATAGTTACTTAATTATTTGAGTTTATTCATTTTGTGTCTATAATAATTTCTTTTGTTATATTAATAATTAAATTTAACAGATACCTCATAATTTGTTTGAGGTTTTGCATAATGAATATAGATTTTTGTTCTAGGTTGATTTAATGAAAAGTAACTTGAATTTAATGTATTAATTGAAGTTACTTTTCATTAAATTTATTTTTAATCAATTCTATATTTACATCATTCATTATGAAATTAATTTTCTTTTGGTTGTGGATATTTATAGTTATACTTTTCTTATGATGTTATTGAATAATAGTCAATCAAATTCTGTTTAAGAATTAAATATATTGTTTAGATTCAAAAGGTTCAGAAAAACATATTAATTAATAAGTAATTAAAAATATTATTTCTATAGCTTTTACAATGTTTATTGTAATATTTTTACTTGATATTTTTTCATATCATAAATTTATTTTAATTGTTTTTAATTAAATTGTTCATTCTTAGTTATAAATTACTTTTTAATATAATCATTATATCTTTATTTATATTAATTTTTATGGTATTGACAAGCTTTTATTGGAATAAAATTATAACTGTTAATTGTACTAAGATTAATGATTTTTATAGTATTTGGTTTATTAATTTATAAAATTTATATTTATTATTTACTTCATATTTCTTTTTAATTCCTTTAAGTATTGGAGAAAATGCTAT